ATAATTCGTCTGCGGGATTTGTTTTCGGTTCAGCCCCCAAAGGAATTAATCCGGATCTTCAAAATCCCGAAAATGGACTGGGAGGCTCGCTCCAGGCAGCGTGTTGTCTCTGCCACACTCTCTCTCTCTCTGGGCTCTTTCGAGAGAAAAGAGGAGCTTTTTACTTTGCTGTCACAGATTGGTTATCGCTTCCTCCTCTCTCTCTCTCTGGTTTTTATTGCATTGCTTGCTCAGTGCCACTAGGCGCATACAGGTGCCTCTCAGTGAGAACCAATCCAGTTTTTGTTTGATTGGGGAGGGGGAATGCAGGCGTGAAGGGAAAGGGAAATGTATCGGCAGACAACAAGCAAATCGTCTTGGCAAAACGTGCCAGAGCCTTTCACATCCTGAGCACAGTTAGCTCCCCTGCGCGAGCAGCTACTGAAGTGACAGCTACAAATGGCTCCAACGCGTAATGGGGAAGAGGGGGCTCTTGTGTTTCTGGTTTAAGTCCCTAGCAGAGGTGTGTCACAACACAGGATTAGGAGTAGGCCATTCAGCCCATCAAAGCTCCTTTGCTATTCAACACAATCAGGGTCAAGCAGTGTCAGGGCTGCACGGTGGCTCAGTTAGCACTGCTGCCTCACAGCGCCAGTGACCTGCATTCAATTCCATCCTTGGGCAACTGTGTGGCTTTTGTACATTCTCCCCGTGTCTGCATGGCCTTTCCTCCCACAGTCCAAAGATGTGCAGGTTAAGTGGATTGACCATGGGAAATAAAAACCGAAAGAACTGCGGATGCTGTAAATCAGGAACAAAAACAGAAGTTGCTGGAGAAGCTCAGCAGGTCTGGCTGCATCTGTGGAGGAAAAAATACAGTTAACGTTTCGGGTCCGGTGACCCTTCCTCAGAACCCATGGCCATGGGAAATGTAGGGTTTTGTGGTGGGATACTCTTCAGAGGGTTGGTGGGGACTTAATGGGCTGAATAACTTGCTTCCATGCTGTAGGGATTCTATGATTGAACACTTCAATACCTTTTACCCACACTATCCCCATAACTCTTTTCACCATGGTAATTGAAAATCTATCAACCTCTACTTTAAATACACTCAAAGGCTGAGCTTCCACAATCCTCTGGGATGGATAATTCCAAAGATTCACCACTCTCTGCGTTAAATCATTTCTCCTCATCTCAGTTCCATAAGTCAGCCCCTTTATTCTTCCCAACTAGGGAAGAATCTGAAACAAAAGCAGAAATCACTGGAGAAATTCAGCAGGTCAGGACCTTCAAGGCACTCCCTCAATGGCAATATATCTTTCCTGAGATAAGGAGACCAAAACTTTTTTTTTATTTCAAAAATATATTTTATTCATAAAAATATATATACATACATAGTCACTAAAGTAGCTTGGTTCTTTACAGCAACAGATGAAGGAACAAACAAACTTTGGTGTTTGACTCTGAAGTTGTTGACTTACTCACCGATCTGGCTTGTTTATCAGTGGAGCCTCCCACGAAGGCCATCAGTTTAACTGGGACAATGTAACCATAGTAGCCCAAGCCAAACATAGACACACACGGGAATTCCTAGAGGCATGGTTCTCTGCTCGTAATGCAATCAACAAACACATAGAATTGGACCCCATATACAAAGCCATACAGATCAAAATAGGAAATGACACTACTCAGTATAATGGACCAGACAGTATAAATTCCAAGCAGAGTAGAATAACATCGCTTCATTAAAGTAAACAACCTCACCCACGACCCAAGCTACAGATCTTTGCCAAAACTTTAAACATCTACAGTCTGATTCTATCCAACAAACAAACCCAAGGCATTTCTTCCTTGCACAAGATTATATTTACATATATTTGAGGCGTCAGGATGGTCTGATAACTGAACAGACTCCCATTTAACTTTGGCAGAAAGACCTCAGACAGCGGTCTTTCCCCACTACAATTTGTTGGCAGCTGCTGCAAGCTTTAGTGCACCTCTCAGCAGGTAGTCCTGGACCTTGGAATGTGCCTATCTGCCACACTTGGTCAAGGTCAACTCCTTGTTCCGTAAGACCAGCAAGTTTTAGGCAAACCAAAGATGACCTTTCATCAAGTTAATGGTCCTCCAGGCACAGTCGATGTTTGTCTCAGTGTGCATCTGGGGAACAGATTGTAGAGCACAGAGTCCAATTGTACACAGTATTCAGGCATGGACTAACCAAGCTCCTGTACATTTGAAATAAGACTTTACTACTCCGGTACTCAAAATCTCTGTGATAAAGGCTAACATTCCATTAGCCTTTCTAATAGCTTGCTGCTCCTGCATGCTAGCCTTCAATGAATGTTTGACAAGGTTAGGTCCCATTACCCATCGACATTTTCCAACCTCTCACCACTTAAGAAATACTATATACATATCTGAACAGGATGATTAAAAATAACTATGCTGGGGAAAAGGAGCTTCTGATATCTACTTTGCATATTTTATGTCTACAAGTACAGTGAGAGCTGGAAATGAGAAGTGACCTAATAGAGGCCTTTAAAAATACAAAGAGGTTGCCAAAGATGGACAAAATGGTTCTATTTGTGGAAGCAAAATCAGAGAGCACTAATTTATCCAAAACAAAATTCACGAGTAACTTGTTTACCTAGGATGTGGAATGTGAGATGACAAGGAATTCTTGAGGTGATTACCATGTGGCTCTCAAAAGGATATTAGACAACTATTTGAAGAGAAAACGATTAGTGGCTACAGGTTAAAGGCAAAGGAGTGAGACTGGTTGAATAGGTCTTACAGGAAACTGGCACAACTATGACAAACTGAATGATTTCCTGTGCCATGACTATCATTCTATCAGATGCATTTAATGGGAAGATAGACAAACACTGGAGAGGGGAAGGAGGCGAAGGCATGTTAAGGGGATTAGATGAAGTGGGGGAAGCAAGAACACTGAATAGCCTGTGTATGTGTTGTAAATGATGCATAAAAATAGCTACAACTCCAGAGCTCTCGATAGGAGAGTGATGGAATTATAAAAATTCCTGTCCCCTTCATTGGGTTAGAAGCTCCAGCAAAAGTGCAACACATTGGACCCACTTCAGCTCCAACAGTTACTCTAATCCTGAATACCTGCCCTTTCCATTCACGTTCTTTCTTTCCAACTGATTATTTACGCCTCTTTTAAATATTGCTCTCGCTGCTTCACATTTGACAGGCAGGAAAATATTCTAATAATCCTCTGTCAAAAAAGTCTGAATTTCCTCTGCGTTCATGTTTAGCATCAGAGGGACGGTTTCTTCTGAGTGTTCTGTGCAGCAAAAAATAGAGAGGAAAGCTGTTCGTTGTTTGCTCCAGGTACAGTGTGAACCAATCTGATCCTGTGTGTCTACTGCTAAAAGTGAGATACACAAGGCAAGCTGTAATTTTAAAAATCAGATTGGCTGACCCACCCTCCAGGTAAGACAATCTTTCTAACTCTGTCTTAATCATGTCAACCACAATAAACCAAGAAAATCATAGAACCACTACAGCGTGGAAGCAGGCCATTCACCTTATCAAGTCCACATCAATCCTCTGAAGAGCATCCTGCCCAGAACCACCCCGCTACTATACATTTCCCATAGCTAATCCACCTAGCCTGCATATCTGTGGACACTCTGGGCAATTTAGCAAGACCAATCCACCTGTCCTGCACGTTTTTGGACTGTGGGAGGAAACCAGAGGACTGGGAGGAAACTCACACAGATATGTGGAGAATGTGGAAACCCACACAGACACGTGGAGAATGTGCAAACTCCACATAGACTAAAGGGTGGAATTGAACCCAGTTCCCTGTTGCTGTGAGGCAGCAGTGCTAACCACTGAGCCACTGTGCTGCCCATTATGTTCATAATGAGACTGAGTCATCAGCAGCACAGGTTTTGAAATTCTTAGACTCTTACTGCATGGAAAAAGACCTTTCAGCTTACAATGCCTGTGCCAGCTCTTTAAAAAAAAAACTGTCCAATTTAGTTCCATTCTACTGGAAATTCGTCTTTTTCAAGTATAGGCTCAGAAGCCTATGGATGGGTGGACACGTTTCTTAGATTTTTTGATTTGATGACACTGGGATGTCGCTGAATCTCTTTATAAGTTTCTAAGTCAAGACATATGAAAGAGAAAGAGTGATTTTACCTTGAACTGAAGGTCTTCAGTAGATTCAATTAAGAGGAAGACTCACTTTCCCCTTGCTACTCTTGTTCAATGAATGATTTATGTGAACATCAATTTTTATGAAGTAATGCTTTGAGTTGGAGGAGAAGCAACATTTTGAGCTTCTTCAAAATCTTTGTTTTCTTCAGCTCGTTTTCATTTCCAATTGTTTTTCTTCGACTTAAAAGCTTAATGAAACCTCTTGAAATGACCTCATATTCCTTCACAGCACCTCAACTACAAACGTGATTGTTACTTAGATGCTGTAAACAGTTGGTTGTTACTCTGTTCAGTTACGACTGACTCACAAAGTGACAAGAAAGTGTGGGATGGGGTTGGAATTGTCAAGAATGTTGGCACAAGGGTATTCAATAGAATTAGCCCCCATCCAAAGATGGATGTTGATCCAGGTTTAATATTTTCTGGGTCAGAGCCAAGACAACAATCCTATGTTTAGCTTCTAGAAGGAACAGAAGTTTGACTTAGAACCAGAATGGCTTTATGTT